ATCAGTATAATGTTTTGAATACTAATAAGATTTGTTTATTTTCACATTACAATTTAGCACTCTAACAATGTACTTGTGCATCAAGGAATAGACTAAAAACATTAATAGAATTTTCTTTTCCTTCATTCGTACTAATATTCCACATATAAAATATTCCACGAAGGCAAACATATTTTGGCTCATTTTTGTTAAGATATAACCAATTTAAAATATTATCCTCGGTTTCGCCATTCTCAGATATATAATTTTCAATTATACTAGGAACTGATAGTCCTTCGCTAAATTTATCATAAAAATTTAGATAAAGTTTATCTAATAAGATAATCTTAGGGTCTTGTTCATTATCATTAATGACATTAATTCTATGGGTTCTGAAATTTCCGAAGGAAAAATAGTTTCAATGTAATTTTTAAATTCCAATATATCAAATTTACTAAACAGAATATCTTGATAAGTATTAATATTGTTTAATCCTATATATACTTCATTAATAGATGGTCTATCACTTTGCTTACTCTGCCAACATTCTAAATTCAAAGAGAATTTTGATGAGTACATATAGTACAAGATTGTAAATGTTTAAATTATAAACTTACTTTCATAAATGGGAATATATCTTTTCGGTATACCAGGAAATGGTTCTTCTCTCAGGCCCTCTATTATTCTTAATGGAAGGGTTGCCGGATCATAATTTTTAAAAGGTTGTCTTTCACTTGATATTTCCCATAGGAGAACTCCAACGCTATAAACATCTGATTTCTTATTCATTCTCTGTCTATGAGACTTTCCATCTTGACCTTCCTTTGGCAAAAAACACCCGGGATCGATATAAGGAACTAGTCCAAAAATTTTACTTGTAGTTTGAGAGTTGGTTGATTCATTAATACGCTGTGATAATCCAAAATCGGCTAATTTTAAAGATTCTTGATGAACAAGTACATTGTTAGAGTGCTAAATTGTAATGTGAAAATAAACAAATCTTATTAGTATTCAAAACATTATACTGAT